GTTTATGGGCGATGGCGAGCTTTTTGCCCACACCCCCATCGCGCATGCGCGGCGCCGGTGGCGTCCGCTAGGGGCGCTCCGGTTTGTTTGTAAATCACGCGACGTCAGGTTACGTGACATCAATTTCCCCGCCAAATTTAGCGGTGAAATCGGATTGGTGTATAGGTCACATGACGTCAGGTCACGTGACATCACTTTTCCCGCCAAATTTGGCGTGGGCAGCATGCCCTGTCTCACTGCGCGTGCGCGGAAACCACATTCGCGCGAGTATGCGCCGTGCCGACAACAGCGCCACCGCAGCCGCGTGACGTCGGAGTTCTACACTCCTCTTTTTCTTTCCCGCGTCCTTCTCTTCGGAACCAACACATTTTAAGGCACTGCAGGTGACCTGCAGAGATCGGTTTCTCAGCATACCGCACTGCGATTTGCTACAGGATACGCGGCAATTTATTTCATGTACATGACCGAAAAAATTCATTTGGATTAAGAAGTCTTTGAACTCCAAGGAAAGAATTTTTTTTTTTTTTTTGTGAAAGAATAAAGTTTATTTTTGCTGATATCATGCCTTAAATTTGTGGAATTTGCACGAAACCCGCGTAGTTAAGAAAAACATTGTGAAAAAACGTTTGCGTACCCCACAAATTTAGGTGGGCGGCTAATTACTTAGTAACATGTCCTATCTTACAGTAACACAAAGACATTGAAAGGCGCCATTTTGAGTCCAAATAGGAGCTCCAAAAAGAAGACTTTATAGGATTTCTTTTTTTTAGTCAACTTGTAGTTGAATGGTAGATATAATACTTTCTTTTTATTTTGTTCTCATAGGATAATCAATTGAACTTCATGTATCAAATTTTCAAAGCCTCGTTTTGTGTCGTTTTAATTCAATGACACAATCTCCAGTTTATGCAGAAACGGCGTTGTTGAGAGCCAGAAAAAAGCAGTGTGGACGTCGGGGCCCCGAACCTTCGATATAGTCATAAGTTGAATCCACCTCATCTCTTCAACATATAAACAAATTACAAATGCACCTACTGTTGTTCCTGAGAAACTACTATTATTATTATTATTATTTTTAATATGAGCTTTTCTTACCATGCGTCCAGGCGCCCATCTCGTAGGCGACGTAATTCCACTGCTCAATGAGCAATTCAAACCGCGTAGCTCTTTACCGATGCAAAATGATAACAGTGATGTCGCTTTGTCATTGAACTTAATTATATTCGGATAGAACTAAGCTGTGATTTCCCTACACCCCCCCCCCCCCCTTTTACGGGGGTGTACTCCCACCTTGTTTTTCAACGACTCCTATATATTCGATGCCCCCCCTTCACCCATAACCCCCCCCCCCCCCCCCCCCCACCCCCTCTGATATAAGTTCCTGGGGAAACCTCTAGAACTAAAATTTATTGAAGATAGATAGAAGATAGAAGATAGTGACGGCGTCACGGAAACGACTTCGTCACTCTTCTAAACGTCATTGTGGCCAGGGCTTGTATCAATCTTTTTGCGCGAAATATTTAAATGAAAGGTAAAACGCGAAAACCGGTCGATAAATAGTATCGAAGAAACTATTACCCTTTCTCAAATTCTGTGAATTCGTCAAGCCTCTGATAGTAGTTGGCTTCAATAGTGCACTTTCAACATGAGCCATGAAACCATTGAATAAAAATTTAATAAACAATTTGTTGAAAAGCCGGCTTACCAAGACGGTTATTACCTTATCTGATGTCCGCTGAGCCTGACACTCAGGTAACGAAGACGGCACCCGTCTAGCTCCCACCTCTTATCAAACACACTTCTTCTTTAAAAACACTAGTGAGCTCAGAAATCGAGACATGTTCTGCTGGCCTCCCAGTCTATTCCGGAGTCTACAATACTGCACATGAGCGGAACCTCAGGGGCGTGAGGCGTCCGCCGCAAAGAGGGAAATCCTTATGTCATCACTACAATGCTTTTAGTAGCACTACACGTTCTAATAAAATACATTTAAGTTCGGTAGAGACGCGAAATCAACGCCATCATTTCACATGGGTAAAAAACTACCCGTCCTGAATTTTTTTTTTTTTTTTTTGGGGGGGGGGGGGGGGGGGGCATACGGCAGACGATGCCGACGCGCAGTATGCATTCCCAAACTCGGGAAGCAGACGATGCAGGCCTACGTTCTTCGCCAGTTGCTTGGGCAGAAGTAGAGTAAGATTAAGGCACCAATATCATTGCGTAACTTGAACAGGATACGGATGCATGGAAGTCAGGATAACGTCCACTTCAACTGAAGAAAATGTGTTTTCAGGAGAGCGTTGAAGACCTTGCGACGGCGTCTCACACCGTTGACGCCTCGTTGGCGAACGCCGGCGTGCGTCGCCTACGAGGCATAATCTTAAAAGCTCATCTTTACAAAAAAAAAAAGAAAAAAATTGTCAGCAACAATAGAAAGTCCTGCTCTAATTGTTTGATATGAAGAGAGGATGTGGATTGAAGTTTTTGCTGTTTCGAAAGTTCCAAAACCCAGTGCCCACTATGCTTTTTTTTTTTTTTTTTGAAAAAAAAAAGGGGGGGGGGGGTTAATAAAGCTGTTTTTGCATAAACTGGAGATTTTGCCATTTAATTAAAACGCAACAAAACGCGGCCTTGAAAATTTAGCACCTGCAATTCAATTATGGTTTCTATGAGAACAGACCAAAAAAATATTGTTGCTAACACTCAACTTCAAGTTGACTAAAAAAAAATAAAGAAATCTCATAAGGTCTCTTCTTGTTGGAGCTCCTATTTGGACTGAAAATGGCGTCTTTCAATGTTTGTATTTTACTGTCATATAAGGCACGTTATTAAGTAAATAGGCGCCCACCTATATGTGTATGGTACGCAACTTTTTTTCAGTGTATTTTCGTAAACACACAGGTTTTATATAAATTCCAGAAATGGAGGCCATGACATGAGCAAAAATAAAGTTTATTTTAAAAAAAATTGCTATTCTTTTTTTTTAGTTTTGTGTTTTTTTTTTTTTTATTTAAATAAATTTTTCTTTTCCCTACATATTCCAGCCATGAAAAAATTGCCATGTCCCCTTTGGCAAGGAATGACCCTACAGAGGTAGAGGCAGGTGGTGGGAGTTTACAGCGAAAAAATCAAGGGGTAAACTTACCTCTTTCAAATAAAGGAAAAAAAAAAAAAAAGAGCTGAATCGTGTTTTGGGCAGAAGTGTTGTAAGTTGGGCGAGTTGGTATGATGACATGGAGAAAAACTTGTAAGGTCTATGCCACCTCTTCGCACACAATGCACTCGTAGTGAGAAGTGCTGCCGACAGATGGCCTAGGCCGCGTCGAGCGAGCGCCGGCCCATTCGAGTTATGATAGCAGTCGATCTCGCAAAAGAACGCTACGAGCTATGTCGCTAACGCAAGAATTTTGGCGCGAGGAGCTGTCGTGTCGGTGGCGTATAAATCACTGGAGCCCCGCAAATATTTGACGAGCGAACCGCAATTTAAATTTCTTCTAATTAAGGAAGTTGGTCCTGCCTCACAAAGTGCTGGTAAACAGTTAACGCGAGCATTCACTGTTGCTTGTATCGTTGAATTAACAGCGTGATGAAGTGAAAGGCTACATGTATATCCATGTCACGAATGGGCCAAACCGATGCAAAGACTTCAACGAACAAAAACTCGTTGGGAAAGTGCCGTCACTCTGTGTGCTCGCCGCTAAAGAAATGCACGGATGTGCGTCCGCATCATGGATGTCGGCTCTTTCTTTAGCCTTCTCTGCCACTTGTGTCTTCTCTTCTTTGACAGCTGCTCTGTCGCGGAACACGCCGTCCGCCGATCGAACGATCGCCGGGGTACGTTATAAACCTCCATCTTGTTTTGTTTCTCTAACGCAGTGGCTCTTAACTATTGATGTTTCTGGACCCCTTGTGAGTCGACGGGGATGATGAAGTTCGTGGTGAGGGGAAGCTGAAGGTATAGGTTAATTATCATAATGATTTAAGAAATGGATATAACTAAAGGCTACTGTAAAGTAGACTTCTCTGATTGACATACACGCGAGAAAACTTACTCAAAAATTAAAACACTTATAAAACAAAAACTTTTCATTACTGGGCTTGATTGATGAGGCAGGGCTTCGCGGATCCCTGGAATGTCTTCCGCGGACCCCTATTTCAGAACCACTGCTCTAACATTTTCTACAGCCGAACGCGGCGCAGTTTACCATGGCAGTCAAATAAAGCACCAGCAAGGTGGTTGCCGGTGTTCGATCTCATCATGTGACGTAGGTGCAAACAATGTAGAAATCCCAAGATGCGGAGCTGCTCCCCACAGTATCGCTGCCGTGAGGAGAAGCTTGCTTCCGGGAGAATCGACGCGGCGGTCGTGCCGGTAGCGTGGCGGCAGCGGCGGCGGTAGGCGAACCACGTGGTTTCATTGACCCACTGACGGGAAGAGGCGGAAGAGGCCAAGGGCGGAAGCTGCTCAGCTGGCGAGCGGCGTCTGCTAGTTCCGGGTTCGACCACCACGCGGCGACCGCGCCCACCAGACCAAAATAAAAACATTGGCGGACTCCTCCATTTCGAACCTGTAGGCAGACCGCTGACAACTCCCGAGCGTCCGCCATCTTGATTTTTACGCTCCTCCGAGTCTTTGGCCGAGTGCACCGCGGGTTCCTTAGGTTTCTTTTCGGTATTTCGTAGCCACGCTCACCCGAATCTGTCCCAATAGTTGTACGCGGGTAACATAAGTCTAGCACGCAAGAAGCACAGAAGATCCAGCCCCGTTCATCATAACTGTTGGAACGCTTGACAAACCGCCTTACATTTCTGTTTTGTATCAGTTCCGACAGACATTGATGATTTTCGGCTGTTTCCTAAGGTTCTTTCCAATCTGCTCTTTGTGGTAATCGCGAATATTTCAGTACGTTCATTTCATCTCGCTGACAGACACGGGGACCAATAGGAACCAAAGATGGCGGAGAGCCGACGATTTTCGCTACCCTGACAACACACAGATCGCAATCGACAAACAGCAGGGCGGTAGGACTGTAGGACCGTGCCAACCGTGCTAGGAGCCGGTGTGCGTGCGTTTCGGTCGGTGTGAACTGGAAGGGCCGTAACAGCGGTTACGCGCGGAGTGTCATTGGAACCCTTCGTTTGGAGTGCGACCGGGGCTCCTTATCAGTGTGTAACGAAGCTCAGCGGCGAGCGCCAACCTTTTGACGGGGTGCAATAACCCGCCATTGAGCTGACTATGCCCGCGAACGGCAGCGGCGCCTTTGCAAGTTGTGCCTCAGCAGCGGCCCGGGCGCCGCTCGTGACGTCACGTGACAGCGGTAAAGAGACGTACAGAAATCATCTATTTCACCCTCGGCCCTTCGAGCCAACCCCCTCTCCCATGCAGCGCTCTCTTACGTTATTATTGTTATTGTTATAGCTGTGCCGTGTCATACCGCTTGGTTTTGTTCGCGTGGGATCTCAACCCTTCCTTACCCTGCCCCTCGCTCTCTTTTAATTTCTATTTCAAGTGTTACTTCTTTTTTCTTCTTTTTTTCTACTCTTTTTTTTTTTAATTTTTTTCAGTTTTCAGTTTGGTTGGAAGCAGTATTGCAGAATAGTCGCTCAACGATCTGAGTTGTGCCGTGTGCCCTTTTCCGCAGGAGACGCCGCACAGCTCTGTGATGTCGCTATTCCGAGGTGGTGGGACATTCTACTGACGACTGACTGTGTCTGAAGAGGAGGGATCGCTTCGGCCTGCTTTTCCGTGGTGGGTCCTGGCTTCATTTTCTCTCTCTCTCTCTCTGTTCCTTCCCCCGAACTAGAAGGGCACAGTGTTGGCGACAGGACAACACCATGCTCGACTGGCCGGACTTGCACCCTCCGTCTACTCTAACACGCTCGTCCACGCCGCTTCCTTCTCTAGTAAATCCCAGCTAGGATGCAACATCGGCCGGTGACGAGTGAGTGGTAGTAGACTTTCGGTCGCTCCGAACAGCAGCGTGGTCTCGGTCGGACATTGCGACGAGTTGCTATTGAAAGCCGGTACCTTTTTCCCTCACCCTCCTCGGAAAATGAAGGACAAATGAATAAACGTCCTTATATTTGATTCACTAAGCCTAACGAAGAGCGACAAAATCTCCAGGATACAGCTTTGATGCCGAGCCTGAAATGGAGCCTGGGTGACACTTGCGAGGCGCGTTACGAAGGCGAAAACTTACGACATAATGCTGTGGTCAGCCCCGAGGCATGTAGCTTGCAGCATAGCCTTCTGGCCCGAGCTTGGAAATCGAGAGAAATCCCGTAAGCTGACCTTTGACGACCCGGGTTGTCTTTGTTGAGCAAAGTTTCATTGTGGCTTCCGAAAAACTGCAGGTGTCAACAGCCGATCGACATCGCATAACGTGTTGTCGGCTTGAGATAAAGACCATTGTCTGCTCGATATGCGGCAGTTACGCGGCCTTAGCTGCCGAACGCAATCGGCGATAGGCCGGCGTTAAACGAATTCCCCAAAACGCGCTGTGGCGACTTTCCTTTTCGAATTGTGTGGTTTGACAGGTCTACGAATTGTCCGGGGCTGCTTTTTTGAACCTTAGACTGCACACTGCATCGGGCGACCAACGGATCTTGCCCCAGAGTTTGAGTTTTAGATAAACTTGAACCTTAGGGTAGATATGAACGCCATCCTAACGGTTGCCCATTTGAAACCTCAACATGAAATACGACGAAGAGACGGAATTCGAAAGAGAACGACCCTTGTGGATGGTGCGGGCATAAAGATATCGGCTTATTAATCCACCTGTTTAGAAATATTTGGCACTGCCCCGTCTAAAAATGGGGTTTGAGGATTTTCAGGTTGAAACAATGTGCATATTAGGAAGGAGAGCAAAGAGGCATTCTAGGCCGAGCTTAGGGGGGAAAAAACGATGAGCAACAATGGGCGCAATAAGGACATTTTGGGGGCCCGATCTAGGTCATTGCAGCTTAGTGGAGCCAGCAGGATCTAGCTTCCCTGGTTGAGGGCGTGCCTGCACTCAATCGAGTGCATGCTCACATATTTTCGTGCCAGAACCTCCTGAATTGGTGATCTCTGAAAATGGTTTATTTGCACACACTTTAAACTGGTGTCTGCAAAGCGTGTCATGAACAAAAGAGCCGATATATGCGTCAGTTGTAACTGATGGCACTGACATACCGACAAAGCAAGAATTAACCGCTTGCTGTGCTTAAGAAAGGAATGTCAGCGGGCCACGACAGCGGGAATCCTATTGAGAGGGACGAAGAAATGTCAGCATCGCCGCGTGGCTTTCGTATGTTTACCAACGACCCGAAGGTTAGTAGTGTGAAAGCGGTTACGGGACCTTTGCGAACATCGGAAGGCCAACCGACGCATTTACGCTGGCCTTTCGGTGAAGGTTACTCTGTGGGATGCACGGCGGTTACGGCTGGGGCAGTCTGCTTTTTCATTCATTTGAGCCAGAGACCCGAGTTGTGAGGACGACATTTCACTCATCACTATCACTTTGTTAAATTTATTTCTTGGTCTCTTCTTTTGGAATCGTTATTTCAACAGGTGACAATACTGAGTTGCCACAATTGTATGCTCGCCGGTTTGTTTGCAGTATATTTGCACGGATGTATATTGGGGACAAGCTGTTGGTTTCTAGTTTCATAGCAACCACATCAGCAGTTTCATGCTCTATATTAATTGCGGTGTCGGCAAAAAAGAAGAAAAAGAAAGAAGCCAAGAGTGGCATTTATTTGTTTAGTTCAAATCTAAAAAAAGTTGGTGGCCTTTCAGTGCAAACTAGATATTTCTCCAAGAAAATTTAGGGAAGTCTCGGGAAATGTATTGGTCATAAAGTAGTTGGAGCCAGGAAAGCTTACGAGAATGCCTTAACTCCCCATGCACTTTCTTCAATGCACTACTGTGGAAGAATGCTTGCCTTTCTACCGATAAGTTAGAATTCGTATGAATGACAGTAAATGTGCCATAAACCTGAATGGAAGTTCAATTCTGACTAGAACGAAAGGCCACGATACGAAAACCTGGTATGCTGTTACTGCCATTATTATGGCTTTCATAGCTTTTCGATTTATGGGACTGGTTGCTTGGGGAGCTTTTGCTAACATAGTTGTGGAAATGTACCCTGCAATAGCATGTGGTAAAGGAACCAGAAGCAATTTAACTGTAGTGAAAGTTTACTTTTGGCAACCATAGAGGATTTCAAAATTGATTACAGTTTGTCACATTGAAGTATTTAGATATTTATTTACTTACCCTCAGGGTCAGAAGACATTACAGAGGGGAGTGGCAAACACATAAGCAAAAAAAATGGCAAAAATAAACACTTATAAACACTTATGATACATCAGAAAATAACAAGAAAGACAAGGCATTTTCGACAGCAATCGGGTCAGGTAAGGTTGGCATATGGTGAGGATGGTGGCTCCATTGAATAGAAGTGGAGGGATGAACGAATAGAAAAATTCATTTGTGTTGCTAGACAGGACGCCAACCTTATGTTGAGGATCCAATCACTGGAAAATACATGACAGGGCTGCTAGTAGGTTTTCATGCAGGGCAGAATGGTAGTAAATTTTATGAAAAAGAGACAAGCAAGGAAGCTGTTTGTGTAAAGCAAGATTAGACAAAGATAATGATAGCTTATAGATGTTTCACTAGAAGTGTGATGATAGAAAGAATAAAACATGCAGATTTGTTTTGAAACAATTCTAATGACTGAACGAGGTACTTTATGCCGAAACACTCAATAATTTCAAGCTAGGGTGTGATGCGAGCATTTTCTCTCTTACTTTAAAAGTTAAAAACTTAACCATGATCGGTTGGCATTTGTTAACTTGAAAGATGCCCAAGCGGTGCACACAATCAATGCTGTCTGGCCTTAGCTGAAAGTTGGCACATGTAGATAAAGAATTTTTCACTTTTTCTTTGTTTGGGACCACGACTCATACGGCGATTCAGAAACACCATAAAAAATAACATTGTCACTGCGCAACCTACCATCAAAGTCATTGAGTCGTGCGCACAGGGCAGTGTTTTCTCTCTGTACAACTTGGACGGTTTGTTAGGCTATTCGAAATTCTTGTGAAAGATCGTCAAGCACGCTTGTTTGTGATCCGTGTGTTGACAGTCGAGTTATGATGTCAGCTACTTTACTTTTGATTAACTTTTGCTTTTATTTAATCTCGTCCACAGATTAATCATACCAGCCTGACCTTTTCCAAATCTTCGCGAACGGGTATTTAAACTTTACAGCAGAGACATGACTTCCGCTAATGAAGGCTCTGGCAGAGCATTCGAATCGGACCGAAGGGCGAGGTCTGTCCAGGGCTTGGGTTGGTTTCCATATCACCAGAAAGCAGCAGTAGTGATGTAACAACATATAACACTCATGCATCATAGACTGCAGCACACTTGGGCATGGGAACGCGAGTAAAAATATGTCACTACATCTTTTAACGCACAAGGATAGAGGTTCACCACTAACCTGAACGACGAAAAAACGCAGAGCGTGGTGAACTGTCATCATGTTGCCGTTCCCATTCCGCTCCCATTGAACATTGCAAGTACATATATTCCAGGTCTCAGAAAAGTACACTTTGTAGAAAAGAAAAACGGACACATAAAAGAAGCACAGTCGAAGAGGGCAATTACTTCTCTGATGAAATAAGAGAGTTGGTTTACTTGAAGACATTAGAAAATAACTACACAAAATGAATTGGTAATTAGCATTTGTTACGTCGCTGTCCATCCATTTCGGTGCTTCATTTTTTATGTTACGTTCGTCAGATTTGGAAACTGCTCCTGTCACTGCTGTAAAGTGCTGCCCCTAGCATATATTTATTGATGTAAATTCACCAGAACATTCAGGGAAGCATGGTTTTATGCATGTGACTTACTTTCAGCTTTGTTTAGGATTAGTGCAGCTATTGATGGTTTGTTCGTTGCTTTCAGGGAAGCAGCCACATAATTGAATAATTGATCAATCAAGCAATCATATAATTAAATAATTGATTACTCAGGCAACCACATAATTAAATTTTGAATTAGCTTATCAAGAAGTTAATCAAGAGGTCATTAATTAACTTCTTGATTGGCACCTGAACCTGCTCGTTTTCTACAAAAAAGTTTAAACAGCCTAGAAAGCGTTTGGAAACAGCGCATGAATAACAAAGACGAGGAAGGTGTGGACAGGACAAGTGCTGAACTTCAACTGAATACTTAATTAAAGGAAAAGCATCCCACTAACAATCCACGTCACTATTGTGTCGACACATGCTTCAAAAAGGCCACCTCATTCCTATGTAAAGAAACTGAAGTTTGACTGATGCATGTTGTGCCTTCCTTTTCTATATCAAAAGCTTTAAGCAGTTTTTGCTCAGTTTTATCAACCGCTTTGCCCAAAATCATGATACGGCCAAAATTTGGCTTACACATATAAGTCAAAGTAGGCGCCCTCGCACAGTTGATCCCAGCAACAATGCGTGCTCGTAAGCTCGTCTTAGTTATTTTTGCTAAAGAAATTTATGGTTTGGCAACAACGGTCTGGACTCTTTGATCTGGCAAGGTTACTTTACAACCCAGATCAAAATCACTCCAGCAGGGGCTTAGCTTAAGTATAGGACTTGTCCCAGCTGGATTAACTCTTATTTTCATCTGGATCCAGCCAGGACCAGTTCCATAATCCAGCTCCAGACAGACCGATTTTCATGTGGGAGGCGTAAAATTTTAGCTTCTTACCTTTT